CACACACACACACACACACACACACACACACACACACACACACACACGGGGAAGCCTAAGAGAGGAGACCCTAATCCTAGCACAGCATGTCCTGGCAGGCCGTACCCAGGTGGGAAAGGTTTGAGGACAGACCTAGGGTCAGACTGTGTATCTGATGTCCCAGGACCAGCAGTGCTCAGGCTACCGCAATTTCTGAGAACCAGAGATTAGACAGTGGTAAGAAAAACCTTAGGATCCGAGTCAATGTGGGGAGGGAGAGATACACAGGGAGGCTCCCCCAGGAAAAGCCTCTGGCCATGGAGGCCGCATATGCACCCACACCTGCATCAGCTGAATCAGCAGCCTCAGGCGGGTTCTTCCAAAAGCAAGCATGGTGGTCCTCATCAAGTGCCTCACCCCTTGGCAGCCCACTGGCATCAGTGCCTCCCACTTCTCACCATTTGGATCCTTGAGCTTGGCTGGAATGGGAAGGTGGACCTGGGTCTTCAGGAGAAGAAAGCTGCAGGAGTTCTTTTCGGGGAGAGCCCGAGGGTCCTTCAGATGCCTCCTAAGCCTTCTCCACATGAACTGGTTAGAAATGACACAATCCCTCAATCACCGTTTTGTTTCTCTTTTGCACTGGACCTGTTTTTCCACAGGAAAGCCCTTGGTAGGTAAACTCCTTCTACCAGTGTAGACTCTCAGTTGCACTGCCATGGTCGTATTAGAGAGACCTGCCTGGACACACAGACAGAATGACCCTGGGAGGCAGGACCCGAATCTGGCTTTCTGAGGCCAGTTCGCTGAGCACCATGCCAGGCGGCCTGTACTAGATCACCATCCCCACTCCCAAAGGGACAGCCTTAGAGTTGTGGTTCCTCACAAGCCAAGCCCACATTCCAGGGGTGGCCAGACTGGCTGTAAATTCATACCAAGCCAGAGAGTATTCAGACGCTGTCTGAGCCCCCATCGGTAGTGCTCTCTTACACTGTGCCAAAAGCCAGGACGGCACCATCAAGGAGCCCTCGCCTGGTACTGCCAGTGGGTTCAATAAAAACACAAGAATCAAGAGATTTTCAAGCATTGACAGGTCTGAATCCTCTCAGATGGGATCTGGGGTCAGGAAAAAAGAAGCAGCATTTTTCTAATTACCTTTAATGCTCTAAGATCTTCAAAGGAAGAAAGTTGTTTGCTTTTAGGCCTTGCCAGGAAGGCAGGATGGTCAAGCGGAAAGATCTCTGGTTTCGTCATCGGTAGCCCTAAGGACAAAGTTTTTCCACTTCCTGCCTGTGTGACTTTGGGTCAGGTGCTTCATCTCTTTGTTATTTTGGTTTTTTGGTTTTTTAGTTTCTGTTTGTTTTGTTTTGCTAGGCCATGGGGTTAAGTGACTTGTCCAGGGTCATACAGCTATTAAGTGTCAAGTGTCTGGGGCCAGATTTGAACTCAGGTCCTCCTAACTCCAGGGCCAGTTCTCTATCCACTGTGCCACCTAGCTGCCCCCATACTTCATCTCTTTGGGACTCCTTTAAGGGGAAGAGGATTTGTGACATGAGCCAGTTCTAAAGCCTGCAGTGCTAGGACATTGCTACCCACAGCTCTTACTAGGAGGTCTCACAAATGCATTTCTAACACAGGTTTAGACCATGTGCACAGTCAGCACATGGCCTGGATGACACCTGGGGCACTCCCCTCGTCTATGCATCCCGATGGGCTCACATCCTGCTGTCTCTCAACCTACAGAAAATTGGCTTCTCTTTTATTAATTATATCTGATTTATTATATGTAATTATAAAATAGTTATATCTAATTTATTCTATGTAATTATAATACGATTACATATTAAACAATTATACTTATATATAATTTTATGTAATTATTAATTGTATATAATTAACCATAACAGGAGTGTAATGTGTAATCTCTCCACCAGGGGGTACGATCTTTTAGCTACTTCCACCCCTCTTGGTGTGGTCCAAAGTCCCAAAAGCTGTCTGGGCTGCCACATCACACTGCTGACTTACACTGAACATACAGCCCACTAAGACCCTTAGATCTTTTTCGGACCAACTGCTTTCTAACCTTGCCTCCCACATCCTGTGCTTGTGAGGTTGATTTTTTGAAACCAAGTGTAAGACTACCTCTCTTTCTCCTGAATTCCATCCTCTTAGATTCAAACAAATGCTCCATTCTAACCTCTCAATATCTTTTTAAATCCAGTCATCCAGCCAGCTTGGTGTCATCTGCACTTGTAATGAGCAGACCATTTACTCCTTTATTCAAGTCACTGATATAGAAGTTAAACAACACAGGGCCAAGCCCAGAGTCTCCATTAGAGACTTCCTACTAAAGTGGTAGTGAAGCATTTAACAACTAGTATTCCACTCTGGTCAGCCAAGAATATGATGAGAGATGGAGACAGAAAGAAAGACAGGGACAGAGAAAGACAGAGACAGACAGAGAAACAGACAGAGAGAGAGAGACAGAGAGACATAGATAGAAACAGAGAGACAGAGATAGAGACAGAGAGACAGAGACAGGTAGACAGAGAAAGAGAGACAGAGACAGAGAGACTGAGAGAGAGAGAGAGAGGCAGAGAGAGAGACAGAGAGAGAAAGCACTCTAGCAAATGTCTGGATAACCAAAGCCCCTTCTCACTGCTCTATACTGTCTTTGTGCCAGGCTT